CCTCCAGGGAAAGACTTGCTTCAATGGGGCTTTGGTGCTCACTGAGTCTGCCCCCTGAGTGTGTCCTTTATGGTTCCACTGAGCTTCAGACTGGATGGTCCCACTCTGTCCTCTGGGTACACTGGCTCTTGGATCTAAGGAGGAGCTAATTTAGCCTCTGCCTGAGGCTACCCAGCAGGAGCTACGAGGAGATCTGGAGATTCCCCTTCCTTGTTTGGGGTTTGGAGGTGCCCAAATGAAGTCCAGCTTTGAAGCAATGCAAGCTGCTGTAGGGCCTTGGGCCTTCTCTTGGAAGTTCTGGGTCTGTCTGGCCCAGCTGCAGTTTGTTAGGTAATTTTCAGATTGCAAATGGCCAGACCTTTCATATGCAAAAGCCTCTGCGCACAGCTTGGGTGGGGCGGGGTCTCGGGATCAACAGGGCGGAGAAAGCAGCTATGTCTGCTCCTCAGTCCTACCCTAAGAGGCTCGGCTTCTCAGTGTCCAGGTAATCACTGCAAGTACCTCTGAGAGAGAGCCGCCCTCGAGTTCCAACGGATGCCAGACAGTCCAGTTTCTCCCCGTATGAGTCTGGGTTCCCAGAGACTCGCCCAGAACTGGAGTTCAGAGCAGCCGGGAGCTTGAGACTCCCTCCCGATTGAAAAAGACAGCTGTGTCCTCAGCTGCCAGCCCTTTCTGCATGCGCCTCCGTACCTCTGCACTTCACTTCCACACCTCCTCTGAGTCTCAGTGTGCTTTTCTCTTTCCTTCTAGTTGTAGAATTTCCACTCAGCCAGCCTTCCTGTGGTTCTGGATGATGTTTGTTTTGTCTTTTAGTTGTATTTTTGAAGTTGTTGGGTGAGGCAGCCATTTCCAGTGTTTACCTATGTTGCCATCTTGGTTTTCTCCGAATATGTTTATTGATTTGATTTTTTTTTTTAGAGGAATGGAGGAAGAGAGAGAGAAACATTGATTGTTTTCCTCCCCTATGCACCATAGTCAGGAATTGAACCTAAGTATGTCTCCGGACCGGAACTGAACTGGAGGACACTCCCAATTAACCGAGCCAACTGGCCAGGGCTGAATATGCTATCTTTAATTAGTGAAGCATAGCCTGTTGGGGTAGCATTGGTAAGGACAGCTCATTAGTTCAAGAAACACTTTAAAAAATTTTATGACTCTAGTATAAATATATGTAAGTTTTTAAAGTGTATTTTTTGTAATGGAATTTAGGTCAGGAGGAAATTTTAGATGCTCTTTTAGCAGTGTAGAGGCTAAGAAACTTATCAGTAATAATGCTGCTCTGATTAGTATGTTGAAAATTCATTGGAAACATAATTCCATTTAGGAGGCCAAAGCAGAAACTTGGAATAGGTGCCTACTTAATGGTGTTAAAAATACAAATAAAATAGCCTTATTTTCAAGGCTTTTATAAATGATTATTATTCTTTTAACCCATATTTGTGCCTTTTCATTTTAATGCCAGACTTTCTTATATATAAACATTTTGAAAAGTTTTTAATCACCAAATTTGACTAATAGTTTCTCTTTCAGTGACATTAGCAACTGTAACTGTCATTCTATAATTTTAATTGTCTTCTGATTTGGGGGTTTGTTTGTTTTTTTGAAGCCACACTAAGTTGTTTATTTTTATTTTTAATTTATTTTTAATGTATTTTTTTATTGATTTCAGAGAGGAAGGGAGAGGGAGAGAAAGATAGAAACATCAATAATGAGAATCATTGATCGGCTGCCTCCTGCACAAACCCTACTGGGGTTCGAACCTGCAACCTGGGCAAGTGCCCTTCACTGGAATCGAACCTGGGACCCTTCAGTCTGCAGTCTGATGCTCCATCCGCCGAGCCAAACCAGCTAGGGCTAAGTTGTTTATTTTTAATCACAAGAAAGAAATCTTGACATGGCCGATGTGCACATTTTCATCCTAAAGTGTTTTCTCACTAGAAATGTGATTTTTCTGTAAATTCCCTTTGAATTTATAGTGTGATGCCAAATAAAATTTTCTCAGGAATTTATTAGATTGGACCATTTGAAATGACAGAAGATTTACCTTTTAACTTACAAAACCCATAATTTCTTATAGTTCACCCTAATAGATACCTCCCTTACCCTTTAAGCCAAATACTTAGAGGACTTTGGAATATATATTTTTAAAACAACTTTCTAAAGTTCAGCAATCATATTAAACTTATTTTTATACTATTTTTGCCTTATGGTATTATTTGTAATACTTCATATTATATATTAAATGTAAAGAACTGTGAATTCTATGGTTGTTTGACTTTTGTAGTTTCTTGAATAGAAAAAATAATCACTATTAAATTCTAGTATATAAGTATGATATTAAATGTCAGTGCCATATCATGATATTAATATCATGAAATAAAATGACAAATTTCATATCTGAAACTTCAGCAAGCCAATACTCTACTGTTAAACAGAGAATTGAATATTTAGGAAAGCTAGGGAATTAATCAGAAAGTGGGAAATGCAGCTAATATAACTTCCTTTTTCATCCATGTGCTTCAGAATTCATTTTATAAAGGAGACTGACCTCTGGCCACTCAGCTGTGATGTACTCTTCTAGTTACAAACTGTCCCTCTGAGACTGTCACATCAAATCCAGTATCTCTAAAGGCTTCTGTTCCAGTGAGCACTTCATTGTTCTAGACCGGGGCGGGGGGCGGGGGGCAACCTTTTGTGAGTGCGTGCCAAAACCAGCAAAATCTCTGACTCAAAATTCTTCTGCGTGCCAACCCTAATTTTTTGAGAACATGTTACGCTTACTTGATATCTCTTAAGGTGTACATATGTGAAGAAACTTGAAGAAATGATAAAATTCATTCGAGCAACAAAAACAGTATATATGATAATGAAAAATACATTTATTTTTTACTGTATGGCACGAGCTACTACTTTCATCCGTCAGGCTACTCCTATTATGAGACTTAACAAAATTCATCACAGAGAACAAAGATTCACAAGCGGATGTGGATGAAGCCAAAACACTGGTCAGATCTAGGAAGGCAGGGAGAGTTAAGGCAAAAGCATAGAAATTGCTCTTCCCCTCTCTCGTCAATCCATGTCTGTGGTCTTTAAGATAACTTGTTATGTAAAATTATTTATCTAAGATGCACCTACACTGAATTTATCTGAAAAATAAAAAAGTCGATATTAAGAAAAAAATTGTAAATGGAAGATTATAAGAGAGGGTTTTGTGTGCCAGCAAAAGTTACTGGTGTGCCATGTTTGGCACGCATGCCAGGGGTTGCCCACCCCTGTTCTAGACCCTCCGAAGCTTGGAACAGCTTTGAATTCTGTACTTGCTTCCATAGCTAATTTGTTACTAAATTGTGGAATGTGTGTCTTAAAGTGGTGTGGATTCATTCTTGGCCATTTCCACTGGTACCACCTTAGTCAAGATTTATCATTTTAGCCCTAATTGGTTTGGCTCAGTAGATAGAGCGTCGGCCTGCAGACTCAAAGGTCCCAAGTTCGATTCCGGCCAAGGGCATGTACCTTGGTTGCGGGCACATACCCAGTAGGGAGTGTGTAGGAGGCAGCTGGTCGATGTTTCTCTCTCATGGATGTTTCTAACTCTCTATCCCCCTCCCTTCCTCTCTGTAAAAAATCAATAAAATATATTTTTTTAAAAAAAGAAAGAAAAACACAGGACTAACAGCCAAATTTAAATTTCAGACATAACTGGGTGTCCTATATTATAAAAAAAAACAACAACAACAAAAAACGATTTATCACTTCATAACTGAATTACCACAACCAGGTATCTAATTGGTTACCCATGTCTAGACTCTCTCTTCCACTCAGATCCTTGTCACCCTGCCATACTAATCTTCTGAAAGCCCTGCTTTCATTGTTACTCTGGTTACTGTGGTGAAACCACAGTGGTGCCTTATTATACACCACACAGCATCACATCCTAATTATTCATCTGGCTCTATTCCTATTTTTGGAACTTGATTTCCCATGTCCCAACACAAATTTGATACTTGGATGAATCTTCCCACCAATTCCCCCATTTGCCAAGAGATTCCTTCCTGTGTTTCTCCTGGGTTCTTTCCCTCCTCTT